CTGCCGTAGCGGCATCGCGCCTGTTGCTTTGGCGTTTGAGTGGAAGGCTCCGCGGGCGAGGGGGCGCTCGCTCCTGGGCAGGTCGCGCCGCAGGCCGGGGGGCTTCCCGGGAACGAGAGAATTCAACCCAGATGCTGCTGCGCCGTCCTGCTCTGGACACCAGTCGCCTGCGGGCGGCACGAGGCTGAGCCGGGGCCGGAAAGCATGGAAAGCCTGCGCTTGGCGTGTGCCTGCCGGGGCCCGGGAGGTTTCTGAGACCCGGCAAAACCCTTCGGAGTCCGGAAGCCGCCAGGGAGGGCGAGGCTGTGGCGGCTCAGGCGTCGCGTGCCTTGGGGGGGGTGGCCTTCCACTACTGGAGGGGTGGCCGACACAAGGAACGGGCGTCCGCACCCTGGGGTCCCGCGGGCGGCCTCTGCTGCGGAGCTCAGGAGCCTGCCCGAGGAGCCCCGGCGACTGGGCCGTCGCCCCTCCCTCCTCCCCGCCTGCCGCCCGCACACCCACCCTTCCTGTCTTCCCATCCCTCGTCTTCACTGCGACGGACGGAGGTGTGTGTGTGTGCGCGGTGTATTTTTAACCTTAAAATTTCCAATTTTAGCCCACAATGATGAAAACACAAACTCGAAGGTTAAGAGAGTCCACAACAGGCCGGGCTCGGTGCTGGGCCTGTAATCCCAGCACCTTGGGAGGCCGAGGCGAGTGGATTGCCTGAGCTCGCGGGCTCAAACCAGCCTGGGGAACTTGGCGAGACCTCATCTCTACAATAAAATAAAATATAGCCAGGCGTGGTAGCGCACGTCTGTGGTTCCGGCTACTTGGAAGGCTGAGGCGGAAGGATCGCCGGAGCCCAGGAGGTCAAGGCTGGGGTGGCTGTGAGCGTGCATGCCCGTGCACTCCAGCCTGGGTGAAGGAGTGAGACTCCAAGTCACACAAATGAAAAAAAACTTCGCCATGGTCATCATCAGAGGCTCAGCATTACTCTTTCCCTGATAATCAGTGCCTTTGCCACCAGGCAGGCGGGTGTGGGCTGCTGTGACCCTGGTGGACGGGTCCCCAAGCCTCTGGGTCACCATCCACCCATCGGCTCGACCAGGAAGGATGGGTACAGCCCCTCTTCCCTCCCACGGAAACATGCCTGAACTTCGTCCTTGCTTTCAGCTTGCAGATTCACTGGTGCCCATGGAGATCAAGCCTGGCATCTCCTTGGCAACTGTCTCGGCTGTGCTGCACACCAAAGACAACAAGCACATTCTTCAGGTATCCTGGGAGGGGCTGGGCTGCACCTGATGCAGGTGGAGCCTGGGGCCTGCAGTGATTAGAGCCCCTGACCCCAGCCGGCTCCCTGGATGCTGGGGGTTAGAGACCAGGCCGCCCAGTGGGTTATGTGGGGGGGGGGCGGGGGAGGGAACTTCCCATAAGTTCTGGACTGCTTAACACTCTGGCCACGTGCCTCAGAGAAGGAAAAGGGAAGAGAGACTGCTGTTCCCAGAGACGAGGTCACGCCTCACCCTACGGCTCTAAGCGTGCCTGCCATGCCCAGAGCTTCCGCGGGCACTTTCCTGTGAGACAGAGCAGGTGTGCCCTGCCCTGGGAGGCAACGGGAAGCATGCCTGAGTGAGGCCAGAGGTCCTAGCCGGGTGACCGCATGGCAGGCAGACAGGCAGGCAGGCAGGCGACCCTTCACCTCCGGGGCACGTTGCACCTCACTTGCACCCAGGGCAGGCACAGTCTGGTGACGAGAATTCCCGTCCGGTCTGGACAGTGACTCTGTGCCCTGCGTGATGTTCCACTGGCTGCCATTTAACCCACACTAGACCTGGCTGCGTCCGTGACACGCAGTGTCTTGCTGAATCCTCGCAGAATTCACATGCTGACACCACTTCATAGGCAACTTCTCTGACCTTCGGTTTCTTGACAAACATTCTGTGGCCAGAAGGCATCCCCGCTGGGATTCTCCCCACGCGAGTCAGACCCCGCGGCCAGCGTGGCCTTACTGTGTCTGCAGCGCAACCGTTTATTTTGGAGAGTTTCAAAGTAGATCTTGACAGAAGGCCAAGGGCTTGGCCAAACAAGACGTGGGTCCAGGTGGGTGGCTCAGAGCGGCGTCTCCCTCCCTTCCGTGAACCGAGCTCGGGTGCCAGCTGATTTGTGGCTCCAGGCCAGGCTGGGCCCCGCAGTGAGAAGGTCCCCCAGGACAGGATGGCTGGGCTCGAGTCCTCGGTGTGGCCTCCCTGATGCCACGCTCCGAGGCAGCCCTGTGAGTGCCCTCCTTCCATTCTGACTTAGCCCCCTCCCAGGCCCACGCAGCCCACGAGCGGGAAGAAGAGAAAGCGGGTGAGTGATGACGTTCCGGACTGCAAAGTGCTGAAGCCTCTGCTGAGCGGCTCCATCCCCGTGGAGCAGTTCGTGCAGACCCTGGAGAAGGTGAGTAGAGTGGGCGTCCGTCCGTCCACACTGAATGCGAGGCGTCCTTCCTGCCGCTCGCTGTGCCCCCTGGCTGTTGCAAGTGGCTGCTGCCGCTGGCCACTTCAGCCCCACTGCCCAGGCTGCTGTGCTGTGGCCTCTGCCTGGTCCAGAGTCACGCGAGGGGCCATACCCAAGAGAGGGGCCCAGACAGCTGGGCGAGGCACATCCTGCTTGCCCCCGCTCCCGGGCCCAGCAGCTTCTCCCCCCAGCCGTGTCCTTCCCAGCCCGATGATCTAGGGGTCCTCAGAATGCTTCCCCAAACCCCACCTCTGCAGGAACCAAACTGAAGATGACTTTCTTCAAGCAGATGGCACAGGCAGGGCAGGGAGGAAAGGCCAGGACAAAGATGGGTCTACTCCTGCTGGAGCCTCACTTTTCGACAAGAAGACCTCTTGCTGTCAGAGGAGGTCTGAGTCTCTGGTTGAGTGTCAGGATTTTAAGAGGTGGTCAGGACGAGTTGAGGAAATGGGCCCAGCAATTTGCAGAGGGAGTCAAGGGGAGATAAGAAGGGGCAGTCACCTGAGGGGACACTGGCTCTTCCGTCTCTGAGGCCCTGATGGCTGCTTCTCCCAAAGAAGAGGTTTCTTGACTATAATTTTTTTTAAAAATTGGTGGGCATGGTGACTCATGCCTGTGATACCAGCAGTTTGGGAGGCCAGGGTGGGAAGATCACTTGGGCCTTAAGAGTTCGAGACCAGCCTGGGTAACATGGTAAGACCTCATCACAACAAAAAAAATTTTTTTAGCCAGGCATGGTAGCATCTGCCTGTAGTCCCAGCTACTTGGGAGACTGAGGGGGAAGGATCGCCTGAACCCAGGAGGTTGAGGCTGCAGTGAACTGTGATCATGCCTGGGTGACAGAGTGAGACCCCAACTCAAATATGAATAAATAAAAATAATTTTTTATTAAAAAACAATCTACCCTTAGTTAAAGGTGGTTGTAATTCTGGTTTCAGTCCCAAGGACTTCAGTGATCACTGTTTTATTGTTAGGATTATAGAATGCTTGTTAGGAAGGAGAAGAAATTGGCTAAAGATAATACTAGTCATGCTTCTTGCAAGAAAAGTTGCGTCTAACTCTGATAAGTAACTAGAGAAAGATTTTCTTCTGCTAAACTATTAATAACTACCTTTTGTGCAAACTAAATATTGCAGCTGCTGGCTTCTTTCAAATAAAAGAGAAGTTTTCTCTTGATGAGGACTGGCTTTCTCCATTTGTCTTTTGTGTTTCCCGGAGGAAAAACCTCGACCAAGTTGGGCAGCTCCTTGACTTCCCCACATACACTGTGAGGATCTCATCGGCCCCGTGACCTTGCAGGGCTGCTGGTCCCTATCAGTGGCCCTCACGTTTTGAGTTATCTTTTTAAAACTTGAAATGACTTGCTTTCCCAGGAGGACTTCTGCATAGCTCATCCTAGGTCCTGACTCCTGACTGTTCCGCTCAGTCACGAACACCTCAGCAGAAGTAGCAAGTGCCTGTCCAAATCCCCAGGGTGGCTTTCTGTCACAAAGTGTAGACAGTCTCCCTACACCAATTCCCTTTACCTATTGTAATATCCCTTTCTGGCAAATCCCTTCTTTCCACTTCTTTTTCAACTTTATGTCTGACTTACAGGGAAAAAAAGTTTTTTGAGTCATGGTCTCACTCTGTCACCCAAGCTGGAGTGCAGTGGCACAGTCATGGCTCACTGCAGCCTCAACCTCCTGGGCTCAGACCATCATTCTGCCTCAGCCTCCTGAGTAGCTAGAACTACAAGCAAGTACCACCATGCCTGGCTTTTTTGTTGTTGTTGTTGTTGTTTTGTAGAGACGAGGTCTTGCTATGTTGCCCAGACTGGTCTGGAACTCCTGGCTCCAAATAATCCTCCCCACTCTCAGCCTTCCAAAGTGCGGAGATTACAGGCATGAGTCACTGTACCCAGCTTTGATTTGTAAGAAAATACTAGAATGAGCATTAGAGATAGCTAGAGAAATATTTGCTCTGCTGCCTTATCTCCTTCCTCCTGTGAGGGATCTGCCAAATCCCGAGGTCAGTGGCATTGTCCTGGGAGCTCAGATGGCTGAGACTTAGGAGGGTTTGCCACCAAGGAGCATGGGCGTGGTGCTGAGGCGGAGAACAGCCTATTGCTCCAGACACCTGAGCACAGATGCTTGGATGCGCTTTTCAAATAACACAAGAGCTTCAGCAGGTTGTGGAAATTCTATTGTGTTTTGCCTAAGATTTTCCGTGTCTGCCTCTTTTAAAGTATATGAACCTGGCTGAATCCTATCGCGGTAGTAGGCGCTCCTGCTAGTGTGAAGAGATGTGTTGAGGAGGGCCAGAACCGCCCGTTTCTGGAACGTTCGGTCATGTGTTGGGAGTGTTCTCGTCAGGTCTCGCATCCTGCCTTTCCAGGCAGCCCTCGCTTTCACATCACCCACTGTCGTCCTCCTCTCTCTTTTCTTTTGGGGCAGCATGGCTTCAGTGACATTAAGGTGGAAGACACAGCCAAGGGCCACATCGTCCTGCTCCAGGAAGCCGAGACGCTCATCCAGATTGAAGAGGATTCAACCCATATCATCTGTGACAATGATGAGATGCTCAGGGTACGGCTGCGGGACCTTGTCCTCAAATTCTTACAGAAGTTCTGACTGGGACATCTAGGCCACTTCCACTTCCCTGAAACCCTGCAGTCCCTTGCCGAGGCTGCCGGCACAGGCCACCTGAGGAAAGGCCTGAGGGGCCGCTGGCCACGTCTGTGTGGTGCCCTCCGGCTCAAGGAGTGGCAGGGTGGCACTGGGAGGGGAGGAATCTGGAGTTACAGCCAGGATCCCCATTGGGATTCCTGGCACGTGTGCAAGCAAGCGCTTCCCTTTAAGCTCGAGGCACCTTTCTTCTTGTCTCCGGCTCTCCTGGGTCCTGGGGAGCTGAGAGTAGCGGAGGTATGACAGAAGCAGCTTTCCAAGAGGCTGATGGGGGTGGAGAGGTAAGACCACGTCTGGCTGCCTGGCCTCTGTGGTCTGCTTGTTTTCGTGGTTCACAGCCTCAGGCAGGGGAACATGGCTTTGATTTTATTTACTTGCCTACAGTGCTGCACCTGATAAGAAAGACGGTCCCCAAAAATTAGTAAAACGAGCCCATCTGTCTTTTATACTGTGAGCTCATATTGTTAATAAAAGCTTATTTTTTATAGAAGTCTTCATGCTCTGTTGAACCTGCAATCTGTACTATGACAGTGGCTGAGAAATTGGAAAATATACAGAGCAGCATGAACTTGGAAACACAACAGCAAATTTTAGTTTGATGTGTGCATTAAATATATAACCCAGCACAGTTTACAGAAGCCACAGGTATATTTATTCTTAAATTGCATGAAAAGGTGCTTAGCTTTAAGCTCTGCCTGCACAAAAAATAATGACAAAGATCCCTAACGCCAGTCTTAGCCTTTGAGAGGGCCGGAGCCAGTGGCTCAGGCTGTCCTAGTTGATCACAGCTGCCACCACCCCCTCACAGAACCTCAGAGGCTCAAGGCCACAAAGTGTCACACTCAAGATACCCACAGACCCACTAGTAGTCAGAAGGATTTAGAGTAAAGGCACTTCCCACAAAAGGTGACTGCATTTGAAATAACACTGCTTCTGGCTTAAGCTGACAGAATGAGTTGTGACACTCATGCCAACGCTGCACATAGAAAATGTGGAGGGGGCGACAAGTCCCCTTATGGGCAGCCCATTGTTCTTACAGTCTTTTGAGACCGGTGGGAACTCAGGCAGAAGTCAGTCCTCCAACTCGGCTAACGGTGAAACATCGCAGAGACTCAGTAACCCGAGGAATAGCTAACATGCACTGTAGAACTGATTGATGCCTCAGTTCTCTTGGAATGAGCATATCCGTGGGAATGAGTGCTTTGTTAGAGGAGGAAACAGGCAGCTTCAGTTTTTCCATCTCCAACTTTTCAGATTCAGGCACAGGAATGCTCAAGCAGGTTTCTATTTTCCAAGGTATGGGTTATTCCAATCCAGGGTCCTAGGATGTGTCGCAGAATAAACTAGAGGCTTCCAACCACAGACAGGACTGACATGACAAAAAGGCTGTGTTAGACTGGACATTTAATTTTTTTTAGGCAGGGATTTAGAAATATCCATCACATGTAGGCATACTTCCTGACAAAACCTCTGAAAGAAGTTACATTTTAAAACATCTTACAAAATGCAAAAGAAGTATGGGATAGAGCCCAGAAGAAACCAGAATGGTCATGTATGTCAGCGTCCTAGCCACGCCACATCCAGGAGTGACAGGACTTGTCAAAGTCTGGCTTCTATTAAAGGGCTTGCTTAGAGCCCCGGGCGCTGCTCCCTTGAGGGAAGTTACTAAAGCCACAAGCAGTTTGTAAGTACCAGTGAGTCAGCCAACGCCTGATGAGCAGGGAGTAATTTAGAAATTAGGAGGTTTTAATCAAGTCATCACCACCCACTTAGTGGCAGAAGTCAGAGGCAAGAAGCAACGACTCACTCTTGAGAGCAGAGAGGAAATCTAGAGCTGGCCTTTCCAGGTATTAGGAGACAGGACTTATGAATAACTCTACCAAAGCTCAAAGAGTTGGGTGCCAAGCCAGGCAGGTCAGGAGGCCCAAAAGAAAGGGAAGAAATGGCAGAAGCAGCCTGAGTGCTACAATTATCCCCCTTATGGGTGGGTCCGTCAGAAACGCAGCCCCTGACATCAGTACCGACCTGGGGAAGAAGCTGGTGTCTACTCAAACCCGATGGAATTCTCATAATTAAACAGCAGTTGGAAAAAGACTTTAAAAGCGTGCAGTGGCCTGATTTTGTTATTTCTTTACGTCTTTCTGCAAAGTGATGTATGAGGCATCTATCGTTGCACACCAAAGTTCCCCAAAACACAGTGGCTTCAAACAACAAGCGTGTCTCAGCTCACCACGTCGGTGGGTCAGGAATCTGGTGTGGCTTAGCTGGATGCTCCTGGCCCAGGTCATCATTCCACATGGCTGCAGTCACGGTGTGGGGTAAGGAAACTGAGGTAGGGGGGTTAAGTAACTTTCCCCAAAACATGCAGCTAGTAAATGGCTTCTGCCTTAACACAACAACATGTGTATCAGGGGTCAGCGGCTGACCGGGAAGAGGATCCCTCCCTCTTAGTCCATGGCTTTTCAAGGAGAGGTGACACCTGCCCCTTCTCTCTTGATCCCTGGAATGCTTCGGAGCTTTTGCCCTTCATAGTTGTCCTGTACAGGCAGAAGTTGGCTTTTCCAGACTATCGTGATGTAGCAACAGAAACAGTGAGGAAACCACCAAAACTTAGGATGCTCTGTTAATATGAGCCACACAATCTGGTGGGAAGGAATGGAGGACACCTTTCCTGTGGCCCTGAACCTGGTTTTTACCCCTGCTACCATGAGAATCGAACACAGTTTTGTTTGTGTCATGCCACCTATAAGAAAGCAGCCAGCATCTACCTTTACAGGCACTGCAGTGGGAGTACACATAAATCATATAGCACTTCTTTGAACCTAAAAAAGGGTAGGAATAACCAACACAATTCTGGAGGAAGTCACAGGTAAGTCCTGGAGAATGGGCGTGTAGAACTCAACCAAAGAGGTCTAATCTCGCTGTCGGCTACAGCTAAAGGATACTGTAGGATACTGCTAAAGTAGTACTTAAAGTAAATTCATGGCTTCAAATGCTTTAGAAAGAAGAAAGGCCTGTAAAGGACAAGCATATGGACTTTGCAGCAACTTGGATGGACTCAGAGGCTATCATACTCTGTGATCGATCACAGAAACAAAGAACAGAGTACCACATGTTCTCACCCATAAGTGGACCCTGAACATTACCATAATACTATAAGAAAGGGATCAGCAATAGCGGGACACTGCCGGGGGTGGGGGACACAACATCAATAAGGGGACCTGCTCTCAAGCCAGGCAAAGTGGGGACCAAAGGGAGGCCCAAACTTTAGCTGTACAATGACCACCTGTATACCTAATCCTGAATTGTACCCCACATCTTTTATTTATTTATTTATTTTTTTGAGTTGGAGTCTCACTCCGTTGCCCAGACTGGAGTGCAGTGGCCGCCCCCGGCCACCGCAGCCTCGACCTGCTAGGCTCCGGCGATCCTTCCGCCTCAGCCTTCCGAGTAGCCAGAACTACAGGCGCGCGCTACCACGCCCGGCTGATTTTTTCATTTTATTGTAGAGATGAGGTCTCGCCGCCCAGGCAGGTCTCGAACCCGTGGGCTCAGGCAATCCGCTCACCTCAGCCTCCCAAAGGCGCGAGATTATAGGCTGAGCCACCGAGCCTGGCCTACCCCACATCTTTAAAAGAAAAAAAGGAGGCCTAAAATTGACCTAAATTTTCACCTTTCACCAAATAAACACAAAGAAAGTAGATGGAAGAAATCATAAAAATAAATCAATCAACAAAACAAAGCAAAAGAGAAAACTAACAAAGCCAAAATCTTGTTCAACATAAGGCCGGGCATGGTGACTTCAGCCTATAATCCCAGCACTTTGGGAGGTTGAGGCAAGAGGACTGCCTGAGCTCGGGGGGTTTGAAACCAGCTTGGGCAACTTGGTAAGATCTCATCTTTACAATAAATCAAAATATAAGCTGGACATTGTAGTACACGCCTGTAGTTCCAGCTACTGGGAAGGCTGAGGCGGAAGGATCACCAGAGCCCAGCAGGTCAAGGCTGCAGTGGCTGTGAGCATGCCACTGCACTCCAGCCTAGGTGACAGGGACTCTGACTCAAAAAAAAAGCAACGTAATTGATACACACTTCACTAGTCAGATCAAGGAAAAAAGGGGACAGAGAGTACCTATACAAGGAGTGAAAGAAGTCATCACCACAGTGCCCACGGACATTAAGAAGACGATAAATCAGAAATGAAAGGGGGATTATTACTGAAGGCCTTCAGGTATAAAGGGCCAAAAAGAATATTACAAACAACTTTATGCCAACAGATTTATCACCACAAACAAAACAATTTCCTTTTGAATACACAAATGAACAAAATTCATTCAATAAGAAAGATAACTTGATATTCACTAAGAAATTATATTTATTATCACCTCGCAAGGAAAACTCTGGGCCCAGATGGTTTCCCTGGGAAATTCTACCAAACATTTAAGGAAGAAATGACACCAATCTTATACAACTACTATAAAACACACATATACATATACACAGAAGAGGGAATACTTCCAATCGTTTTTAAAGGATAAGTATAAATCTAATACCAAAACCTTGTAAAGCCATTATAAAATAAAATTAGAGGTAAATATTCCTTATGAACATAGATGCAAAATACTTGAAATATCGGCAACCTAAATCCAGCAATACATGAAAAGGATAGGTCATGACCAAGTAAAGTTTCTCCCTGAAATGCAGGGGAAATTCGATATTTTTAAATCAACCAGTGCAACTTACTGTAATCACAGAATGAAAGAGATAATGTATATGACCATTTCAATAGATGCAGGAAAAAACCTAAAGGCACTCAGCAGACTAGGAATAGAAGGGAACTTTCTGATGAAGGTAAAGGTCATGATAAAGGTCATGCATGAAAAACTTCAAACTTGGTAAAAATGTTAAAGCTTTTCCCCAAAGATTGAGAACAAAGCAAGGATAAAAATAATGACGGAAGAGAAAAAAGACAGACAAAGCATCAAGACAGGAAAGAAGTAAAACTTGTTTTCTGATTACAAGACTGTTTTTGTTTTTTTTTGAGTCAGAGTCTCACTCTGTCTCCTAGGCTGGAGTGCAGTGGCACGTTCACGGCCACCGCAGCCTCGACCTGCTGGGCTCAGGTGATCCTTCTGCCTCAGCCTTCCAAGTAGCTGGAACTACAGGCGCACGCCTGGCTAAGTTTTTGATTTATTGTAGAGATGAGGTCTCACCAAGTTGCCCAGGCTGGTCTCGAACCCATGGGCTCAGGCAATCCTCACATCGGCTTCCCAAAGTGCTGGGATTATAGGCATGAGCCACCACACCCAGCCAACAAGACTTTTTTACGTATAAAATCCTAAGAAATCGTCTGGGTGCTGTGGCTCATGCGTATAATTCCAGCACTTTGGGAGGCCGAGGTGGAAGAACTGCTTGAGCCCAGGAGTTCAAGACCATCCTGGGCAACATAATGAGACCTCATCTCTACAAAAAAATCAAAACATTAGCGACCAATGGTAGCATCTGTAGTCCTTGCTACTCGGGAGGCTGAGGTGGGAGAATCACTTGAGCACAGGAGTTTGAAGTTGCATTGAGCTGCGATCATGCCACTGCACTCCAGCCTGGATGACAGAGTGAGACCCTGCCTCAAAAAAAAAGGAAAGAAAATCCTAAGAATTCTATGAAACTACTAGGATTAGTAAGCAAGGTTCTCAAGATCACAGAACACAAGGTTAATATGCAAAAATATATTTATCTTATATGCTAACAAAATGAAAAATAATTTTCTAAACAGCCATTTCATTCATAATAGTGTGAAAAAACATAGGAATAAACTTTTGAAAAGTTGTATAAGGCAGGTGTGGCAGCTCACACTCGTAATCCCAGCTCTTCGGGAAGCCAAGGCAGAAGGCTTGCTTGAGCCTAGGAGCTGGAGATCAGCCTGGCCAATGTAGCAAGACCTCATCTCGACAAAACGCTTTTAAAAATCAGCCAGGCATGGTAGCACACGCCTGTTGTCCCCGCTGCATGGGCTGGGTGGATCACCTGAGCCCGCGAGACTGAAGCCGAAGATCTCTATACTAAAAGTCTCCAAACATAGGTGATAGAAATTAAAGAGGATCTGAATAAATGAAGAGCTAGACCATGTTAATGAACTAGAAAAGTTGATATACAAATGGCCAATAAGCACATGAAGAGATACTCAATTGCATTAGTCATTAGGTAAATTGAAAAACCCACAATGAGTTACCACTGTACACCTACTAGGATGACTAGACTAAAATTTTTTGTAAACTTTTTCAACATCAAAGTAAGTGTTTTCAAGGATGTGAAGAAATTATATCCCTCATACACGGCTGGTGGAATATAAAATGGTATAACTGCTGTGGGGAAAAAAATGGTTTGGTATTTCCTCAAAAAGTTAGGTATGGAATTACCATACCATCCAGCAATTTACTCCTCGGTAGATACCCAGATGGATCGAAAGCAGGGGCTCAAACAGATATCTGGACACCTCCGTGCATAGCAGCATTATTCACAGTGACCGAAAGGCAGAAGCAACCCAAGTACACATCAACTGATGAATGAATAACAAAACGTGCTATATACCAAAAGTAACATAGTGTCCACTATCCATGAAAGGGGACGAAGTTCTGACACAGGTTGCAACGTGGATGAGCCTTGAAAACATGCTAAGTGAAGTAAGCCAGTCCCAAAAGACCACACAGTACGTGATTTTTCTCTTCTTCATGTTGAAGTGTGCAGAACAGATAGATCAAGCCAGACTCAGTGGCTCGGCCTGTCATCCCACGCTTTGGGAAGCTGAGGTGAGTGGACTGCCTGAGCCCGCGGGTTCGAGACCCACCTGGGCAACTTGGCGGGACCTCATCTCTACAATAAATCAAAAAATCAGCCGGGCGTGGTAGCGCGCACTTGTAATTCCAGCTACTCGGGAAGGCTGAGGCGGAAGGATCGCCGGAGCCCGGCAGGTCAAGGCTGCGGTGGCCGGGAGCGGCCACTGCACTCCAGTCTGGGCGACAGAGTGAGACTCCAACTCAAAAAAAAAGAAAAAAAAGAACAGACGGATCTACAGAGACAGAACAGCAGCTGTCGGAGGCCACAA